TGTGCATAGTCCCAAATTCTAATGAGTTTCCAGGAAGTATCACCAAAATCATGTTGGCATCGACAAGATGTGTTTTTTCAAGAACTCTTTGCTAACTGCTCCCTTTGCCTGCAGACTCCAACTGCACAAAATATGTCAGTTTCTGGGATCTATTACTGTAGCTATGTCTCAACTGATGGTGTCAGATTCCAGAACCGCCAAGCCCAGAGAGCTCGAGTCAGCATACCCAAAATCATACTCAGCAGCCTCTCCTCCCGAGGTCGAAACTTTTCACCGCCTCGTCCCTACCTACCCAGGACACTCAGGGATTGCTCATCCTGAGCAAGTCAGTATTTTTTGGCCTCATCTCTTTGTCACCTCTCTCCAGCTTAGCAAAGAGTCCGCTGCCAACCAAGGTCCTGAAGGACCACAGCTATGGTCAAGGTGCTCAGGGCGTCAGTCTGTAAAACGCAGCTGCATCTGGAAAGCTGCCATCTTGTCCCCATTTGGGGGGCCTCCTTTGTGGCCCACCCCATCTCTGTGTCCATCGTGACAGTCCTGCTCTGTCCCAGTCTCAGGCCCAATGAACTTCCGTTGCTGGAAAGAGGCGACCATCTGACCAGCCCCAAGGCCACAGCCTCATGCAGGCGGGCCAGTGGGCGTTTAGCACCTTCCGCTGGCAGAGGAGCTAAGCCGCAGAAATGAGCTTGGGTTACATTCCAGCGTCCGGCCAACTTGGCAGCCCCATGGGTCAGGGCTGGTGTGCGGCCAGACATGAGTCCAGCACAACTAAAGGGCGTAAAACAGAACTTTGCTGCAGAGATACGCACTCAGAGGCAGGCTTTGTCAGTGGTGCCCCGCCCACAATCCACGGTTTCTGCTCCTGTGCTCTTCCTGACCCCCCTCCTCCTGTCAGGAGTCCCTGCTCCACAGCTCCCCACGTGCATCTGGAGCCCAGCTGCCCACAGACGCTGCCTCCAAGGCTGCTAATGAGGAGGGCCGAGGGCTGTGGGTGGAGAGTAGTCTCCTTGGCCAACTCCAGCTTCAAGACAAACCTCAGCCACGTCTAACCCTGCCCTGCAAGTCCTTGGCTTTGAGGTTGTCTCTCCAGTCCTGCGTATCAGAACTTCCTTACAAGCTGCAGCTGGAATCTTTGCTCTAGAACATCAAGACCCCTCATTATGACATCTAATCTTCCCTGGAGCTGGTGTTGAAGCTTTGGAAATCAAGGGAACTCCTCACCACACACATCTGAGGTTCATCAAAAGCTGTGCCTGGGGTCCCAGCTCTGGAACATCAAAAAGACTCATCATAAACACCTGCACTTCACTGAAGGCTATAAGTGAGTTCTAAGCTTTGGAATTTCAAAGGGACCCCTCTTCGAGGACACCAAGAGTTTCACTGGAGGCTGGAGCTGGTGTCTCACTTCTGGAACATCAAGAGGGCCACTCATCATGGACACCTGAGCTTCATCGGAGGCTGGAGCTGGGGATTCAGTCCTGGAACATCAAGAGGGCCATTCATCGTGGACATCTGAGCTTCATCAGAGGTTGGAGCTGGTGTCTCAGTTCTAGAACATCAAGAGGGCCAGTCATCATGGACATCTGAGCTTCATCAGAGGCTGGAGCTGGTGTCTCAGTTCTAGAACATCAAGAGGGCCAGTCATCATGGACACCTGAGCTTCATCAGAGGCTGGAGCTGGTGTCTCAGTTCTGGAACATCAAGAGGGCCACTCCTCATGGACGCCTGAGTTTCAATAGAGTCTGCAGTTGGGAGTCAGTTGGAACATTTAGAGGGCCACTCATGGACATCTGAGCTTCATCGGTGGCTGTGGCTGGGGACTCAGTTCTGGACATCAAGGGGGCCACTCATCATAGACATCTGAGCTTCATCAGAGGCTGGAGCTGGTGTCTCAGTTCTAGAACATCAAGAGGGCCACTCATCATGGACATCTGAGCTTCATCGGAGGCTGGAGCTGGTGTCTCAGTTCTAGAACATCAAGAGGGCCACTCATCATGGACATCTGAACTTCATTGGTGGCTGTGGCTGGGGACTCAGTTCTGGAACATCAAGAGGGCCACTCCTCATGGACACCTTGAGCTTCATCGGTACCTGTGGCTGGAGACTCAGTTCTGGAACATCAAGAGAGACACTCCTCATGGACATCTGAGCTTCATCAGAGGCTGGAGCTGGTGTCACAGTTCTAGAACATCAAGAGGGCCACTCATCATGGACATCTGAGCTTCATCGGAGGCTGGAGCTGGTGTCTCAGTTCTGGAACATCAAGAGGGCCACTCCTCATGGACACCTGAGCTTCATCGGTGGCTGTGGCTAGGGACTCAGTTCTGGATCATCAAGAGGGCCACTCCTCATGGACACCTGAGCTTCATCGGTAGCTGTGGCTGGGGACTCAGTTCTGGAACATCAAGAGAGACACTCCTCATGGACATCTGAGCTTCATCAGAGGCTGGAGCTGGTGTCTCAGTTCTAGAACATCAAGAGGGCCACTCCTCATGGACATCTGAGCTTCATCGGTGGCTGTGGCTGGGGACTCAGTTCTGGAACATCAAGAGAGATATTCATCATGGACACCTGAGCTTCATCGGTGGCTGGAGCTGGGGACTCAGTTCTGGAACACCAAGAGGGCCACTCATCATGGACACCTGAGCTTCATCGGTGGCTGGAGCTGGGGACTCAGTTCTAGAACATCAAGAGGGCCACTCCTCATGGACACCTGAGCTTCATCGGTGGCTGTGTCTGGGGACTCAGTTCTGGAACATCAAGAGAGATATTCATCATGGACACCTGAGCTTCATCGGTGGCTATTGCTGGGAACTCAGTTCTAGAACATCAAGAGAGACACTCCTCATGGACATCTGAGCTTCATCAGAGGCTGGAGCTGGTGTCTCAGTTCTAGAACATCAAGAGGGCCACTCCTCATGGACACCTGAGCTTCATCGGTGGCTGTGGCTGGGGACTCAGTTCTGGAACATCAAGAGAGATATTCATCATGGACACCTGAGCTTCATCAAAGGCTGGAGCTGGGAACTCAGTTCTAGAACATCAAGAGGGCCACTCCTCATGGACATCTGAGTTTCAATAGTCTGCAGTTGGGAGTCAGTTGGAACATTTAGAGGGCCACTCATGGTCACCTGAGCTTCATCAGAGGCTGGAGCTGGTGTTTCAGTTCTGGAACATCAAGAGGGCCACTCGTCATGGACATCTGAGCTTCATCGGAGGCTGGAGCTGGGGATTCAGTCCTGGAACATCAAGAGGGCCAGTCATCATGGACACCTGAGCTTCATCAGAGGCTGGAGCTGGGGACTCAGTTCTGGAACATCAAGAGGGCCACTCCTCATGGACATCTGAGTTTCAATAGAGTCTGCAGTTGGGAGTCAGTTGGAACATTTAGAGGGCCACTCATGGACACCTCAGCTTCATCGGTGGCTGGAGCTGGGGACTCAGTTCTGGAACATCAAGAGGGCCACTCATCATGGACACCTGAGCTTCATCGGTGGCTGGAGCTGGGGACTCAGTTCTGGAACATCAAGAGGGCCACTCATCATGGACACCTGAGCTTCATCGGTGGCTGGAGCTGGGGACTCAGTTCTGGAACATCAAGAGGGCCACTCCTCATGGACATCTGAGTTCCAATGGAGTCACAGTTGGGAGTCAGTTCCAACATTCAGAGGGCCACTCATGGACATCTGAGCTTCATCAGTGGCTGGAGTTGGGGTCTCAGTTCTGGAACATCAAGAGGGCCCCTCATCTTGGACATCAGAGCTTTATCGGAGAGTGGGGTTGGAGTGTCAACAGGCTCTGGACCATTTAAGGACCCCTCCTTCTGGATGACTGGCTTCATCGGAGGCTGGGGCCCTAGCCATCGTGCACAGGACTATCCTGGACTGTCAGCTCTCTATTGGTTGGGTGGGCCTGAATTGATCTTGGTGGGACGTGCTTGGAGGCTGCCTCCTGTGAGTCTTACTGCTGCTGGAGCATCACTCAGCACCATCCACGTCTCGGTCTCCATCTGAGAATGGGGTCAGGTCTCCTGGACATGGCCATGGTTCCCAGCTGGCACTTTATCTTCGAGAAGGAGACATGCTCAGCTCCACGCACTAATGGCTGGACTCATTTTTATTTCTGTTGAGGCACCTTGCTAGAAGGGGGCAGAAAGGAGTAGGAGAAAGAAGAAAGGAAAGGAGAAGGAAGAGGAAGGAGGGAAAAGGGGGAAGGAGAGAAAGAAGGAAGAGGCAGCAGTGGCGGTGGCTTGGGCTTTGATGGTGACAGTGGTGATGGTGGCCGTCAGCACTCCCTGCCGTCAGGTTGCGTGTCCAGCTCACCTGCTCCTGCAGTGCCAGGGGGGCCAGGCCGAAGACTTCACATGGACTTGGATCCGAAGCTCTCCACCCTTGCTCCGTCTGCCCTCATCCCGCCCCAGCCGCACGCTGCTAGCCGACAACCAGAGACCTGAGCTAGGCTCGGGACGCCCCCATGAGGCGGGGCGGGTCTGAGGCTGGGCCTGTTCAGCCCCTTCAGGGCCCTGCCCGGTGACCATCTTGTGCAAAAAGTGCTGACCCAGGGCCGCAGGCAGACTGACCTGCTTAGCCACCCACTCGCCATCAGTTCAAGAATGACAACTCCTTGGCCAGGGCCTCACTGTGACCCTTGGGAATGTGTGAGGGGGGGAACGGAGAGTCACAGCCCTGGGGGAGCCCCTGGGGGGCTGCAGGAACCAGGACAGCGAGTTCAGCCCCACCACCTCTGTACCTCCCTTTCTGGAAAGAAACCTGGCATCCTATGACCGTTAGAAGAAGGAAGACCAGCAGGACCTTCACCGGGCCAGCCCTGCTTCGGGACAGCCTATCACCCTTCAGTGCTCGATGGACGGGGGACAGGCGGGGACTGGAGCAGGCTCTCAACCCCTCCCCACCCATCATACTGGCCTAAGTGAGGGGAAGCCTCAGCAAAAAGGGACACCCGACACGTACCAATCCTCATATTAGCAGCATATCCATCACTTTGTTAAGGCAAAAAGCACATTTATTGAGAGCACAACAGGGTGTGTGTAGGCCCCGGGTCAGGCACCTTCCAAACGCATCACAGGACCCTCACAACAACCCTGTGAGGTAGGTGTGCGGGCCCATTTCACAGATGCAGACGTCGAAGGCACGGGAAGTCCCCCCTAAGTCTCAGTGTTGGTGAGGTGGGCAGGGCCAGGCCTGCGTGTCCGGCCCTTGGGTCAGTGAAGTCCATCGGTCAAAGGGTGGCGGCCACTGCGGGGGAGGCCGAGGAGGGCCCGCCCCTCCTCGCAGGGGGCAGCCGGGTCCAGAGTCTTTGGGTCCAGCCTGTCCCGTGGGAATGTGTGCAGGGCGTCCCCGTGGCTGTGGAGGCTGAGAGAGACACAGGTGCAGATGAAGGCCACCTGCTCCCGAGCGCCCTGGCTCACAAGAGTCCTTAGGCAGACAGGCGGGCTGGGAGCGAGGCGAGGACACGCCTGCACGCCTGCTGAGCACCGGAGAGCCGGCCCTGCCCAGGAAAGGCCCGGCTGCCAGCGCCCTGGGCAGGGCAGGGCACCGAGCCACAGCTCCCGCCTGTCTACCCGGTGCCTCCACCCTCTGGTGCCCTGCGCACCACCCGTGCCCGCACGGGCTGCCAGAAGCATGGCCCGGTCATGGCGCCCTCGGGCCGCAGTCCCCTCTCGGCGCTGGCTCAGAATCCAGAACTCCTGGCCTTTCTACAGAGCACCCCGGCCCTCACGTCCACCTATTGCCCATTACCTTTGCATGTTTTCTAAAATAGTGGCCTTGTCCTCTTTTAGTGGTTTCTACAAATTCTCCCTGATCCTCCCATTTTGGTCTCCACCCCCTCCTCTCTAAACCTGCATTTTAAATCCCTGTACTGAAGAGCACACCTCGCCCTCGCTGTCTCCCAGAGCTCCCAGGAGTTACCCCTGCACCCTCCACTCTATCCCACAGTCCCCTGGGACAGAGTCCCGGGGGACCCAGGGCTCTGTGAACCGAGCCCCCCAGGAGAGTAAGGGTCCAGGGCACCTGTGTGACAGGTAACAAAGCATTTATTTTTATGTAAATAACCTCACTAAAGCAACACCCATGCCAGGTAGCCGGACTAGTCCCTGATCATAGCGTATCTCACACAAAGGCAGCGTTTGGTCCCACAGTGTCCCCACGTGTTTGGCCAAACCGTTTCCCAACGCACTGCCCAAATCAGGCTGCTCCGCCGGCCTCCCGCCCTGTCACCCCCCCCCCCCCCCAGAGGCATGCGTTCTGCCCTTTTCACATCTCAGTTCCAAGTCCTGTTTACGTGCATCCTCACAACAGCCCTGTGAGGAGGCTGCTAGGGCCCCCCGCCCCCCGCCCCCCCCAGGAGACAGACCCAAGCTGCCACCGGTTTAAACCCCACACATTCATCCAGCTCCAAGGTCTTGGCTTTGCCCAGTCTACGTATTGTCCGATGCAACCAATAAAATGCCAAGTGCTCAGCAGCGTCCTCAGGACCCACACCTCATCCCATGCAGGCAGCACTGGGCTAATGTGGGGGACACACCCGGCCAGGGGCCTGCATGGGCACTGGGGGCTGCCTCCAGGGCGCAGGAAGTACCATGTGCCTCGGACACCCTGGCTCGCCGAGGAGCTGTTCCGTGCAGACCCCTCGCAGGGCATGATCCTCGTCATCCACACGAGCAATCATCTCTCCGCATTTTCTCTAAGTAGGGCTGAGCATTAACGAATCCCGAATGGGACGGGAATAGCTCTAAGATGTCCTCTGCGCCGCCAGGCCAAGGTGTGCTAATGACTTGAAAGCCTGCTCGCTGCCGGAGCCAGCGTCCCCTCAGACCCCCGGCTCTCATCCCAGCCTCTCGAGGCCGTGGCCTGTGATTTCAGAGCATGCAGGGAATTCAGTTTACTGATTACTAATCAACCTAGTTTTGTGAAGAACAAAGTTGGAGAAGGCAAACTCTCAACAGAACTCAGCCTGGGAAGTGGCAGCTGAATCAAGGGTCTCGCCGGGGGGACCGCCACACAAACAAGGCTCCTTGCAAAAGTGCTCCACTCCCTTTCCAAAGGAGGTGTCGGAACGGGCCCTGGGGGAGCCCTGGCTGGTTGTCAAAGCGTGTGCTGGCTGTGGGGGCGGGGAGGGAGCGGGGAGGCTGGAGGGTAGCAGGCAAAGGTCCCGGCAGGCACCATCAGGCACCATCGCCACTGGTCAGGGCGGCCTGGGGAGGACAGCTCCGCTGGTGTGTGGTGCACCGGACAGCGCCATGGGGGAGTCAGTCATGTGGGTGACAGTGGCAGAGGAGACTCAGCCGGACGTGCTCCAGGCAGTGACCCTGGAGGCGGGAGCCACAAATACGGACTCTCACTGCTTGAGCACAGCCCTTGGCACTACACACCCTGCCGCAAAGGGAAAGGTTTGTATTGGGGATGGAGAGGCCAGAACACCAGGCCAAAACACACAGGCCGAAATGCAGGGACGGCTGCGCAGCTGCCGTGAAGCTGGGAGTCAGCGCTCGGTGCAGGGGTCAGCTGCGGCGGCGGCGGCAGCTTGGACGCGGGCACAGGTGCCTGGGCGAGGGAAGAGGCCCTCTGCTGGGGGCGGCGGGGGCGTGAAAGGCAGGGACGATCCCTGGGTGAAGTGCCGTCCCCGAAGGCCACCATGACCTCTGGGTCCAGGCGAACTCCGAGCTGGGGCCTGAAGGGAAGGAAGCTCGGGGACAGCGTGGAGCCCATTCGGTTCCTTGGACTGGGAAATCGATCGCATCACTTGAGGAAAATGGGGGGAGGATCTTCCATCAGTCCTACACCCACGTGTCCCATTAATCAATGTGACTCCAAAGACGACCATCGAGGCCAAGTGCTGGCTCTCACATCACAGGACCTGGGACCACCTTAGCGATGGCCCTGCAAAGCACAACCTAGCAACCCGGAGGCCTGGCCTCTTCCAGGTGACACAGGAGCAGGTGACAGCGCCGGGGGAAGCCCACCAGCTGAGATGCAGGCATGGCTGGCCGAAACTTGGGGGGTCACAAAGGTACTCCTGTTCTACCAGCAGAACAGAGGGCAAGTACGTAAGTCATAAATGCATAAGCCTTCCCGGAGGACACAGCCTTCCACGTCACCAAGCTGCCAAATGGAAGGTGTCACCTCCGCAAAACACAAGTCAAACACACCTGCAAGCCAATCAGAGCCAACCCTGCTCCCACTATTTGAATCTCCTCAAAATTACCCTCACTGAGTGTCTGCCTAGCCTGCCCCTTTGTATGCCTCCAGGGATGGAGGGCTCACTACATTCCATGAAAGCCCCCTTCATCCTTGACCAGTCTCATTTGAAAGCCATGGCCCAATGACCCTGGACAAACAAATCACAAAAAATAAAACACACTGTTAACAAACAGGTGCGAGATGGTCAACCTTCATTAGTAATCAAAGCGATGCAAGTTAAAATGACAGAAACAAAACTTTTTAACAGAAATAAACCAGCAATATCTTAACAAAATGCTAATGCTAACTATTATAAATTGCTGAAAGTCTTCTGAAATTAGTATTCCCACAAGAATCCCTGGCCTTTCCTTCAAAAAGCTCCACCCTAGGAAATGCCGCCAGTTACCCCTCCTTACATCCTCTATCAACCGCTCACGTACCATCCACCCGCCCATCACTGCGCCCATCAGCCCGGCACCAGCCATCTTGCTACATCTTCATCCCCCTTCCATCCCCTCTCATCGTCATCCAGCACATCTTCACCCGTCCTTCCATCTTCTCACCCACCAGCCAAACATTCACGCACTCACTACACCTTTATTCATCCCTCCATCCTCTCATCCATCAGCCAACCAAGCACCAACTCAATACATCATCCACCCTTCAATCGTCTCATCCATTAGCCAACCATGAAGCCACTCGCCACACATCTTCATCCATCCCTCTAATTCTCATCTATCAGCCACAATTTACCCACTCACTACACTACTTCAATCCTCCGTTCTCTTCGTCTATCAGCCAACCGCTCACTGACGACTCCTTCATGTATCCTTTCATCCTCTCACTCACTAGCCAGTCACTGACCACTCACATCTTCACCCATCTCTCCATCCCTTAATCCACCAGCCAACTACTGATACACTACTTACATTTTAATCCATCCTCCCATCCTCACATCCACCAGACTACCAATGGCCCATGCTCACATATTCGCCATCATCACATACATCCACCAACCAACCACCCAGTCACTATATCTTCTTCCATCCCTCCATCCCTATCCATCAACCAACCAATTACCTACTCACTACATCATCATCCTTCCCTAAATCCTCTCACTCATCAGCTAACAAAACACCTACTCACTACATCTTCATATGCCCCTCCATTCTCATGCATCACCCAGTCATATATTCAGTCACTGTACCTTCATGCATCCTTTCATCCTGTGACCCATCAGCCAACCACTAACCACACTCACATCAACCATCCCCACATTCTCTCATCCATCGACCAATAACTCGCACACTCATTACCTCTTATTCCATCCCTCCATCCTCTCATTCATCTGCCAGTCATATTCACTCACTATACTTTCATCCATCCTTAGAAATTCTCATCCATCAACAACCAATCATCCAGTCACTGTGTCTTCATCCATCCTTCCATCAGTTATTCACATTTTCAGCCATCTTTCCATCCTTCCATTCTCTTATTCATCAGCCAATCATTACTTCACTCACTATAACTTCATCCTTTTTTCCGACCTCTCATCCATTGGCCAATGGTTGACTACTCATTCATCTTCATTGCTATTTACATTCTCTCATTAATCAGCAAATCAAATCACTCACCAACTCACTACACCTTCATTCATCCTTCCATCTTCAAATCCGTCAGCCAAACAATAACATATTACCTACATCTTCATTCATTCCTGCATCCTCTCATCCATCAGCTAACAACTTACCCACTGACTCCATCTTCATTGATCCTTGCACCCTCGTATTCACTAACCAATCACTGACCACTCACTGCATCTGCATCCATCCCTCAATTCTCTAATGAATCAGTCAACCGCTGACTCACAATCACATCTTCATCCATTCCTCAATCCTCTCATCCATCAGCAATCATTCATTCACACTCACTACACCTTTTTCTATACTTCTATTGATATATTCTCATTCATTAGCCAACCATTCACCCACTCACTGCATCTTTATACATCCTTCCATCTTCCCATTTACTCATCCATTAGCTAACCAATGACCCCTCACTATACCTTCTTTCATCCCTCCATCCTATCATTCATCAACCAATCCTTCCTTCACTCACTACACTTTCATCCATTCTTCAGTCCTCTCATCCATGAGCCAGCCAGGACCAGT